CAAGTAGAAGAAGGATCAAAGCCCAACTCATCAACTTTGAACACATGAAAATCAAAATTTTCAGAACTGAAATGATACTAGGGAATTCTAAAATTATGTATTTGAAAAAGGAAATAGAAAGAGAGATGGTGACGTAACTTATTTGTTGCCTAGATAAGAGGTTTGCACTATTATTCTTTCCTTTTCGCCACCACCAAGCTCTCTCTCTCTCTCTTTTCATTTTATTTATTTATTTATTTATTTTGTGTGTGTTCAACAAATGTGGAGGGATAGTATATTTATAGAGAATTTGGTGTGAAAAGTCCAAAATGCCCTTTTGTTCTAATTCAATTGAATAGTATCTCAATTTAGTTTGAATGTAATGGAATGAGGGATGATTACTACCTTAGTTATATACTTAATTAAAATTTAGTTAGGTTTAGGGCTAATTAAACACTTCTAGTTACAAGTACATATATATATATATATAGCAAATCTTATATTGTACCTTGGTTACTATTCCATCCATGATTTAGGGGATTTTTGGTACGAGATATATCCTACAAGATCCAATAGTATCCTAGGGGTAAAGGGGTGGCCGGTCATCCTTGATTTTGAAGGGACAAAGATGATCTATTTAGTGTACAATTGAATATTCTACAACGATCTCATGTACAAATTATATATTTAAGAGAATTAGTACATGTGTATATATATAATGGTACTAATTTGGGGTCAACTTGTGATTCAAGAAAGATACGAGGGCTAAAGCCTTAATTTATGACTTTGAACACTTAATTGAGTATACTATTTAATTTATTTAAACTCTGGAAATTTAATTCGGTTAAAGTTTTTTTGTTTTGAATTGAATGGCGAATTGTACTGAGAACCGAAAATACAGTGATCTTGATTTAGACCGGACCCATTTATTACTTCTAAATCCAGGAAACCATATTCGTGATGGTCGTTCTCTTTTCTTCATGTTTGGTTTTGGCTTCAGGGGTCGACACCATTCTTGTTGGTGTCGACACTACCTTCTTTTCCTTGCCTTGTTCTGCTCCAAGGGTCGACACTAGCCTTGGAGGTGTCGACACCATCTTATTGTTATGTTATTGGAATAGCTATTGAAATTTAGGGTCGGCACCAGCCTTGGTGGTGTCGACACTTGTCTTTTGTTGTTGGCCTCAAGGGTCGACACCAGTTTGGGAAGGGTCGACCCTTGTCTACTGCAGAATCTAGGTTTAGTTGCTGAAATTTACTGTCGACACCTTAGATCCAAGGGTCGACGCCTTGTGTGCTAGCAGCATTGTCTTTTTGTTAATTCTTCCTGAAGGGTCGACACCACCGACACAATGGTTGACCCCTGTGAGTTTTTTTTTCCAAATTTTAGTTCGATTTTGGCCCCTACTTCTTGTGGATTTTGACTTGTTATTTTAGGATGACTTTGGGACTTTATTTCACTTTAACATTATACTATAAATAGGGCCCTCACTTACCCTTTTATTCATTGTATCTTCTCTTTCCCCTCTCTAAGCCGTGAGTCACTCTTCTCTCTCTCTCTAAACTCACTTTTCACTTAAAGATCTTCAGATCTACTTACTTAGAAGCATCTATTCACCTTGCTCCTTTGAGATTAAGTGTAGAGCTTATCGAGGGCTTCATTTTGATCAGAGAAAATCGTTGTTTCGTCACCGTCAACTTTTGGGCTTTTCTTCCTTCTTCTGGTTCTAAGCTTGAGGTAGGGATTCTCGACACTCTTGTATAATTTTTACCTTAGTTATTTGCTATTTCAAAAGATTATAGTGGTTTGGGAGTTTTTGGTAAAACCTAGGGTTTGAAAACAAAAAATGAAAAAGAGTGTTTTTCAAGGTCTCTTGGAAAAGCTTGTGAGTATGAAAGTGGAGTTGATATATGTTGAAATGAAGTATTTTCTACATTGAAATTGATTTTAAAAGAGAAAGGGAGTTTTCCCTAACAATTTGAATGTTTGAGATTGTAAAGAGAAAATGAAATTAATGTTGAGAATTATGAAATTGAAATAATATTGACGATGATGGCAGAGTTGGATATGTATAATCACTCACATTTTGAGATTTTGGAAAAGTGTATCTTTAATGAAAATTATTTACTTGTTTAGAGATATTTGTTTTGGACAATCGGTGGAGGATAGCTATGAGTGTTGTAGAAATTGCATGAGAATTAGGTGAACTAAAACTAATTTCTCATCCATGTGCATTGAACATAGTTCATCATTTAATACACTAAAAATGTATATGATTTTGAGAAAAAGGGGTGAAGGTTGAAAAGAGACGTGTATCACCAAAATAAGTTGGCCTGTGTGTCCAGGGTAAAAGTCTCGAAAAATGCACGTATACGTGGGTGTCGGTTCCCACGGATAAAATATTCATAAAATGGCAATAGTAGCACTTATGTAGGCTATGTTTACATGGGTTTCATTTGATGGTTTCCCGCAAACAAAATATCCGTGAAAGGTTGTACCGGTTTAAGAATTCCCCTTGTTTTCTATTGTAAAGGACATGATTTGAGAATTGTGATATAAACTTGGCATGGCATGGTTTTGGAAAGAAATGTAAAATGTTTTGGCACTGGCATTGCATATGCATAAAACCTTATGGCTTTGTTAAGATTTATACATTGTGTTGTAGTATTTCTACTAGGCTTTGGCTCACCCTTTGTGGGAAACTATTTTCAAGTATTGGTGATATGCCTCCACCAAGGACTTAGCTTGGGAGGACTGTGGAGCTGAAGGCTCAGTGTTGTATTTTGTATTTAATTTTGTATCAGTCTAGGGCTTTATATATATTAAGCTTAAGGCTCACTTTTGATGTACCCAAGCATTGACTTGGAAAGATATAAGCCTTTAAGGCTTATGATGATTATCTGTTTAGCTTTCATTTCTTTTCACCATCTTGTAACACATGCTGTAGATTCAGGATGTGCAGTCTATGAATGTATATCGCATGTGTCGCCTTTTGTATATCAAACTCTGATTAATAAAAGCTTATCAATTCATCAATGTTGCCATTTATTGGTTGTTATGAGATGGGTATATTGTATTTATTTTAAGACGTTACAGGAAACCTAGGGTTTCTGTGTGGAAAATATACTTAGAAAATTAATTTAATTATTATTAGGGTCTTAGAAATGGTTCCTAAGTTCCTGGGTTCAATTTAGGATTTGCGAATTTTCAGTTGGCACATGTTTTCGATTCTAGGGTTAAAATTAAATTAAGAAATTGAGGGACTACAAAGAAATAATTTAAAAGTAAGGGTTAAAGAAAACATTGCAAAGATTAGGGGCCTTACAATGTGTCAAGTTCGTAATCGGACTAAACCATACTATTGAGCCCCGTGGGTCTACCACGAAACCTGCATCAATAATCTGAACCGTTTAATGTGTAGGTTTCGTTGATCATATAACATTTCTATCAACATTTAGTATAATTTTAAAAAAAAAATTATTAATAGAAATGTGATCTAATCAAGTAGAAATTGATATTAGATCAATGTAATTTTTTCCTGGGATGAAGTACTCAACGAGTCCTACACATTGAATGGTTCAGATCATCAATGTAGATCCATGGTGGACCTATGAAGGCCCAACAGTACGATCCAGTCCAAAACGGGACTCGAGACAAGCCTCATCCTATATCAAAAGGGTTAGATTTATTTGAAACTCAAATCTGAACTTGAAAGAAATTATATATGGAGCCCATGGGGCTTATCATGGGTTCTGTTTCAATGATTTAAATTATTTGTTTTGTAAGGTAAGAGTGCATATCATCTATAGAGAAATGAATTGTGATCATTACCATTTCATACTTACAATGGAGAGATACAATTACATCATTTAACGGTAAATGTAATGATCTTTCCTTAATTTAAAATAATTATAAATTTGTATTCTTAGCTCATAGCCATTAGATATGTAAGGAAAACCCTCCATCATAAACATGTAATGGAGAAGATCAAAATCTTAGAAATACTTAAGGGTAAATTACAAATACACTCTTTGAGGTTTGCTTAAAATACATATTACTCCTTGTAGTTTGAGAAAAATACAAATACCCCATTGTCAGAATCGTTTATTTAACAAAATTAATTAGAAAATTAAAATTTATAACTGCTCTTTTATATAATGATAAAATTACCTTAATTATTAATTGAAATAAATTTCTAACATTATTAAAAACTGTTAATTTACTTAATGATTTATTAATAAAATGAGTCATTTGTTTTGAAAACTTTAAGAGGCGAGATGTAATTTTTCAAACTATAGAGGGCAAATCGTATTTTAAATCATTCAATTATATATATATATATATATATATATATACAGACACGATAAAATGAATAGGTTACAGTTATTGAATTAACCTTATTATTATTTTTTTTTGTATAAATGATATACACCAGTACCCTACAAAATAAACGGTTTTGATTATTGAAACGGAACACTTGGTGAGTCTCACGGGCCTCTCAACTAACTCTAAAAGAAGAAGGATATTAACTAAGGCCAAGTTTGGGAAGACTAAATAAGTGCACTTTTTGACTTTTTATGAAATATGGGTTGGATTTGGATTGGGTTTGAAGTGATGTGTTAGAGAGGTGGTGTGATTTAAATAAGATGATGTGACTTAAATAGGATAGTGACTTTTTGACTTTTTTAGAGGATGCCAAACTTGGCCTAAGATATAAGATAGAAATTGCTCATATTATCCTCCATACTTTTCCATTCACCACTCTTCATTTGTGGACCATGTTTTGGGCTTACAAATAAATCATTAATCTCGTAAATCTTGTGGTGAAAACTATTTATGCAAAAATTTAACTTCATTGGATATTGGTGAATAAATGAACTAATCGCATTTTGTTTAATAAAAGAGATAATTTAAGTTTAAAGTTGTTGTCTATTTAAATAAAATAAAATATAATTTATTCATATGTTTAATGATATTTGATAATAATTTTTTTTGTACAACTCATTTTTATTATTCGGCCTACGGAAAAGTTCATTAAAAATTGACTAAAATATAAATTTTTTTACTAACAATAACAAAAGATGAAAAATAAAAAACTCAAAAATAATTTTAAAAAATTCAAAAAGCAAATATGGATAATGCTACTCATTCACCACGCAGATCGATCTGGTCTCCTACATTACTATAGCGTCCCGGACCCGTCTCTCATCGGTTGTCGGAGCTCCAACATCAGACCAAGACCAAACCATACTTTTATCCCTAAAATCCAACAGACTAATGTAACAATTGTTGTTCCTAGGAAACAGAGTTGCAACTAACAAACAGTTATTGCCATGTAAAAATTGCAGCCTATCAGCCTCACCAAGTGACCATCCAATTGGCTCATAGTAAAAACCAATCTATTCTCCAGTGATTTGGTCCCAAACACCAATCCCATACTCATTGCTCCTACCTTTACAACTACTAAAAATATTGTAATCTGAGCTAAAACTCAAAGCACCAGCTGTATAGCTTTTCACTTGATCATCATGAGTGACTTGAAATCTATGCCTGAGCTCCCTTGTTCCTGCACTAAACAAACCCATCCCGCCACCGCCGCGGCCTAACCGCTCACACGCGGTGACCACAACAGTCTCTGAATCGATCCAACCGACATCATTAACTCTCTGGTAGTCAAGATTGATTAGGGAATGCTCTTCTAGCATCCAATCATAGACATGTACCATACTACCATGTACTACACAGCACCTGCCATCTGGGCCGGCCCGAATGGCCATGCCGTCGCCAAGTGCTTGGCCCATCACAGACTATGAAAATCGGAGCCTGTTTCCATCGAATTGGCCCCATTTCGCGGTCCGGACATGATCGAGGAGGCCATAAAATAGGGCTTCTCTGTGGAGGAGCTTTTTAGTGATGTTGGAGGGGATATATTGTTAACATAAATTTCAGAACATAAAACTTCATGTTTCGGATCATCTACCATGTATATCATCAAGAAATCAAGACAAAATGACATACCTGAATCCATCGATGAACGGTTAAACGGAAGCGTCTGATTGTCAATAAAACCTTGATATTGACTATGTTATTGCCTTTTAAACCTTGATATTGACTTTGTTTCTCCTTGAGAGGATTTAGAAAAACAAAACAGTGTTCTTATCTTTCACCTTAGGAAGGAATAGGGACCATAACCTTTTAAAGGTTGTAATTGGTTTTCATAACTGAAAGGTAATGAAAACCAATAAATTAACCATTATTGGTTTAAAACTGAAAGGTAATGAAAACCAACTTTAACCAATATGTTTTAATTTCTATTTCTGCCCCTCATAGAAATAGAAATTATACAACTAGTATCTACACATTAGGTCCATAACACATATATACCCTTAAGCCTATTAACTAAATTGAATCACTTAAATTGTAGGCTTCTTATAAATGATAACACCACATTTAATTATGTGGTCCCATTGAGACATTATCTAACATATAGAGCTCCCTAGTTCTGAGTAGGTCTAGTAGGACTGCAAAGTAATCCGGGTTTCAATCGATGAAGTATTCATCGAAATTGTGGGTTTAGAGGTTCCAATTCTAGTCGAACATTGTGCTGAAGAGGAAATTTCGGCCGGCATTGGCAAGTGTTGTTGCTGTGGTTTCGAAGATCTTGCCTCCAACATTGAATTTGACTCTGTCTTTTTGAATTCCCATGGCTCAATTGCCAACAAATTAGGCAGATCAAGATGGGAATTTGAAGTTGGAAGGCTAAGAGAAACAAGAAGAGTCCACTTGTGGAGAAAATTATTTGTTTTTCCTGGAAAGTGTGGGAAAATAGTTGGATTGTGAAAGGAGCCGAATTTAATGAAATGGGTTTGAAAAATTGAAATTGGACTGGGAGACTTTAAAGAAAAGAAGAGGTAATTAAAACAATCAAAATAAATTTGTGAGAGAGAGAGAGAGAGAGAGAGAGGAATTAAAGGCTATAACAAGAATGACAAGAGCAGATTTTTATACAAACAGGTGAAGAATTTGATGTGTTATTGTTGCAAAGAAGCCAAAAACACCATGGAAAGGCATGATAGATGGATCGGATGCAGAGGCAATTTGATAGAAATCAGAGAAAAATGAGATCTGGGTATTAAAGGATGAAGGGTTTGGGAGGTGGGTTTTTATTCTTGAGGGATTTGGGAGGTAATTTTGATCTCTTACCTTCCATTTCTTCTTCTTTTGCCTTTTCCAACTCTCTCTCTCGCCTACTTGGTATTGCTTTGGTTCGTACATTTTTGAGTTTGGGAGATGAGTTTCAGAGATAAAAAAGTACGAAAAATAATTTGGTTTGATTTTTTTCAAAAGATGTTTTGGAAAATTATTTTGAGAGGGAGTTTTGGAAAAAAATGATTGATTTGATGTGTATGAGAGAGAGATTTGTTTGGAAAACTTGTAAACCAAACAAGTTTTGAAAAAAATTTTTGAAAAAATTTGTTTGGTTTGATTACTTTTGAAAACTTATTTGTAGAGAATTTTTTCCAAATTTTTTTGAGAAACACAAACCAAACAAGGCCAATGTTGTATGGTACGGTCCGCTTTTGCAATTCATAGTGCTCTATGTTTGAATTGGATGATTCACATCTCAAATTGAGGCAAAGTTAGCTATTTTAACTTTTTGATTATTTTAATAGATTAGAATATTTATATTTTAAAAAAAGTTAGATTTTTTATAATTAAATGTGATATTTATTAAAAAAAAATAATTATAGATTTAATGTGACATTTTATCTTATTAAATATTTTAATCTATTATTTTTAATTTTTTTTATTATAAATTTTAACCCAAAAAAACCTAAAGTTAGCTTCCCAAACATTGCCTCACTTAAAAATTCAAATTAATTTTATAATGAGAAAATTTGTTAAATATCTCTCTCCAACTTTAAGTAGTAGGAGAGATCTAATATGTTTTTTTTATTAGTTAAAGCCCCTTAATAAAAAATTTCTGTGATCATACCAGAGAAATTTTAAAATTTATCTGTGATCATATTAGATAAATTTCTCTGTGAAAATTGAAAATTCTCTGTGTCGAAGTGAAATTTCACTGTGTTGAATTTTCTCTGTGAAAATGTTGAGAAATCCCAACTACTATAAAAATATTATATGTCATTTATCTTATAAAATCTTAATATGAAAAATCTTTAAAAAAAAATTCCCCTTCAATAATTATAATTATATTTATTATTTTAAAATAAATATTTTTGTTTTAAATTATACTTCAATTCTATTTTTCTTTTTAGAGTTTATTTATCTTTCTACTTTTAAACTATCATCAAATTATCTATTTAATTCATAAACTATAATATATAAATCAAAGTCTATTTACTTTCTAAACTATCAATTAAATCTATTAAATTCCTAAAGTAATAAATTCAAACTTATTTAATCTCCTTAATGATTAACAAAATAGAATATTAGTATAAGTATTATAAATTAGTAAAAGACACTGCCTAATAAAGATTGGGACAATTACCTAAAAAACTTAAGGTTGGAGCCTTCAAACAAAATAAATTCTGAATTTTTTATTTTATTAATTTAAACATTAATCTTTTGATTCTTTTCAATTTAAACCATTTTTCTATTTTTGTGAAGTAAAATTGACCAAAAAAAAAACCCGATGTAGGTATTCATAAAATGTCTAAAATATTCATTAAGTTTAATAACTAAAATACTGATTTTTTTTCCTATCAATTTTACTTAATGGAAATAGGAAAATGGTTTAGATTGAAAACAAATTAAAAGTTTAGGGTTTCTATGACAAAATTAAAAACTCAGAGTTTCTTTTGTTATAAGGTTCAAACTCGGATATTTTTTTTTTAAATTTTTTGTAATTTCTCCATAAAGATTTTATTCTAGAAAATCTTAGATTTCTATTTCACTTTTAAAAGGTGTTTTATTTCGCTACGTGTTTAAATTAGTAGTAGAGCTCTGATTTCTTAGCATTGCCAATAAAATTATACGAGTATTAGATAAACTGAAGAAGTAATATTAGATAATTTAAATACTAATAGAACAAAATAATACATTAATTTATTTATAAAAAAACTTACCGAAGATTTTAAAGGCGATCAATTAGAAATTATAAATGAAATCTGACATATAATACTAAATAATGGCAAAATAAGTAAGAAAATATTATAGATAATTACCTTACCCCTATAAAAGAAATTCACCAGAAGAATTGACGCTCACTTTTCCAAGACAAGAGAGAGAGAGAGAGAGAGAGAGAGAGAGAGAGAGAGATTCTTAATTATGTAGGATATTTTACTAATTTATAATACTTATGAGTTGAACTAATACACTAGCTTGAACTGGTCTACTAAACTCAACTTAAAAAATCAAACCTCATTCCACTAGCTTGAACTGGTCTACTAAATTTAGAGTTGCAAACGAGCCAAATTGAGCTGAACTTTTGAGTGTTCAAGCTCTTAAATAATTGAGTTTGAACTCGGCTCATCAAATATTTGAAAAACCTAAGCTCGGCTCAAGCCAGCTAGAATATAATGAGCCAAGTATGAGCTCGAGCTTAAGCTTGAAAAAAAATTAAACTTATCAATTTACTTAACAAGATAATATATATATATATATATATAAGAAAAATATACAAGAATATTAATAATAAATTTCATCAATCAAATATATAAATTCACACAAACACCAAACAAAAATATAAAAATAAAATAATTTACCTGATATATTATTACTAATAAATACAAATTTATTTTCTTTATAGTTGCAAGCCTTATCGAGCCAAGTTTAAGGCTACTCAAGCTCAGCTTGATTAATAAACGAGTTTAAAAATTAAGTTCAAACTCGTTTATTATAAATAAACTGAGCTTAAACCAGCCGAGTTTGAACAGTTTATAAATAGTTCGATTTGTTTACAACCCAAATTAAATCTGGCCGAAAGACAATATTATTAATGTCACTTATTCTTATGTGACTTATAAATGATTTAAAATCCGGTGGTGCTATATGCACAAATTCGTTTACTAACTAGTGTACTTATACTAGTTATGATATTATTATTGACCCCACTCATTAACAAATTACAAATACCAAAAATATCTTAAATTATTTTACATCATCAATTGGTACACTAGTTAGTACACTAATTGGTGCATATAGCATTATTCTTTAAAATCAAAATAAATGTAATGGTCCTTGAGCAAGCAATTAATGTGTTTCATCAATCAGGCGAGAAATTATTTAATATTCTTAAAGAAAATTTAAGTAATATTCTTAATTAATAGTTATTAGTTCAAATTTTAGGCTCATCCCCACTTTTGATATTACAATTTTAAAGGGGAAAAAATGTAAAATATTAATCCATAAACAGAATGGTCAATAGAATGAAATATTGCTTCAAAAATGTGGAATAATAAATGGTGCCCTATAGTGTGTTGTTTGTATTTTCAATGTATTTTAATTTATTTTGAAACTGCTACTTTGTTTAAATATTTTTGAGTCGTAATTTTGTTTTTAGTTTTATTCAAAAGAGTCTCTACCAGATATATGAAATAACACACAAAAGGCCAGATATTTGAAAGCAATACTAAAAGTTTTAAAAAGAATAAGATTTCACTACATCACTACGTGAGATATACAAAAAAAAAAATTACAAAAATATGGTGCATCCCCCAATAGCATCCTATACAATGTTTCTAAAAAAAAAAAAGAAAGTACAAAAAACAAAAAAGGGAAAAAAAAAAAAAAAAAAGAAAGAAAAGGGACATGGACTAAGTCAACCCCCTCGAGGGTGCTTCGAAGCACCCTGAGAAGGACCATCCTCATCCTCATCCTCATCCTCGCCCCCGCACTGCAGAGAATCAGAAAAAATACTTGAAATGAATCAGGCTAAAGCTATAGAGTAATTGGGATCACT